TAAAACGTGTATTAGTGTAATTCATTCTTACTGAAGGTTCTAAGTTTTGCCAGATTTACTCTCGAGTTCTCCGCATGCTACTTTTGTCTCACTTTTCGGCAGAGAGAAAACGGTGTACGAGCAAAACTACACTGGGCCGATGCCCATGGAGGAGGCTTCTCGTGTTGGTCGGGAATACTCAGGCAAATAAATAGCAAGCGTGGAATGTAGAAAGATAGAAGTCTTTACTCATTAAAAGACCTAAGAGCAATGTACAGTGAACATTTCTGATGAAAAGTGAGAGTTATCCACGATGTTGAAGGTCATGGATGCGGCCTGTGGTCGCTCTCGAATTGTCCAGACAGATAAGCGCTGTTTGAGAGTCATCACTTGCAGCGCTGCTACTACGACTTAGAGGAGTTCTTGCATTAGCACGAAGGGAATGAGTTAGTGTGCTGTTGTACGGAAGGAATGGATTACCCGACACAGAGGTGACCGCTGGAGGGAGGGAACTGCCTGCTTCACTTTGGCTTGATAGTTCACCTTTGTCGTGAATAACTTGCATTTGCAAACTATCCACTGGGCTACTTCGGAGAACAGGCAAGAAAACTGTATTATCGTCTGTGCAGGCGCGCGAATAGAACTGGGAAGTATCGAAATGAGACGGATCTCCTATATTGGAAGCCAGCGCCAAATTGTCATCAGCAGATTCCATCTGCTGATAAGTTGCCACTTTGCGATGTCTATCTGAGCAGGCACGAAGGCCGGCAGATACGGTTGTGAGCTTGGCAGATTTAACATCCGATTGCTCGGATTTTGAAGAGACTGCTCGAGATTCGGGCTTTGTCGGCTTAGATGATGCAGCACCTTTTCGGATAACGCTTGAATAAAAAAAGAGGATTAAATGTAGGGAGAGCGATGAAAACGAAATAAATGAGTAAAATCACATATCAGAAGCATAATTCACCGAAAGATAGAGTATAATTAGGGAAATAGGCATTACCAACGAAGACCCTAAAAGATGCACGAATTAAAAAAAACTGAGTATTCACGGTTCTTAACCACAGAACTTCGATAACTTTAGGGGAGACCGCCTTGATGTAATATACAGGTTTTGAGGGATTTAACGTTAACGATCAGTTAAAAGTACTGAAAAAATAGCCTAATATATTTATCAAGTAACCAAACCAAAGCGCTATTCAAACAGACACTTACCGCTTGATAAGTTGATCGTGTAGATCGACAAAAGTGAAATAGTCCGCTTCAGTGTATGGCTATAGTTCAAAAAAGGCTTTAAACGCATATTAAAAGATGAGACTATATATAGACCTCGAAGTATGTTTCAAAAGAAGAGCATTTACGAGAGCCGAATAAATAGATAGATCAGCAATTAGGTAATAGTAAACGTACTCCAGGATCATGACGCGCACGCATGTAAAGCTTACAATACGAATCAACGACATCACGAGGAGCGGTGGGTTCCATAGCCTTAACCCGCGCAGCCATCAAAAAATCCCTAATATTT